AAAACAGCTATATTTGCATCTGCCCACATGGGACACTGTAGCATTACAAACTACAACTACAATGGACACTCAAACTAGCCATTAATAGCTAAAACATGCTAGAGAATGCAGTGTCGCCTAACTTTTCACTTTTCCAGGACTTCACTAATATTTCCAGGACATTAACTTTCTGTTTGTCCAGGTGTTTTCCATGTTGGAAAACTAGTCTCTGACTTTCCAGGTTTTCCAGGGCGTACACTATATGGACAAAAGTACTGGGACACACCTCTTAATCATTGAATTCAGAAGTTATATTCAGTCCCATTGCCACAGGTGTATAAAATCAAGCACATAGTCATGCAGTCTGCCTTTATAAACATTTGTAAAAGAATGGGTTGTTCTAAAGAGCTGAATTCGAGTGTGGTACTGTAATAGGATGCCACTGATGCAACAAGTCAGTTTGCAAAATTTCTTCCCTCCTAGATTTTCCATGATCAACTGTGAGGAGTATTTTTGAAAAGTGGAAGCATTTAGGAACCACAGCAACTCAGCCACGAAGTGTCAAAGCACGTGAAGTTACAGAACAGGTCACTGAGTGCAGAGGCAAATAGTACACAAAAGACACCAACACTAAGTTCCAAACCTTCTCTGCCAGAGGAGTGGAGTGGACGGACAAATCACTGGATGAGTCTGATGGATGAGTCTGGGTTTGGCGAATGCCAGGAGAACGTAACCCGCCTAACTTCGTTGTGCCAGGTGTAAACTTTGGTGGAGGAGGGGTAATGATATGGGGTTGTTTTCAGGGGTTGGCCTAGGCCCCTTAGTTCCAGTGAAGGGAAATCTTAATGTTTCAGCAGACCAAGACATTTCAATCAATTATATGCTTCCTACATTGTGGGAACAGTTTGGGGAAGAGCCTTTTCTGTTCCAGCATATTCCCACAGACACACTCCACAATCTTGTAAAAAGCTTCCCAGAAGAGTGGAAACTGTTATAGCTGCAAAGGTACATAGCTGCAAAAGCTCCTGTAGGTGTAATATGTAGGTGTCCCAATACTTTTGTCCATATTGTGTATTTTAGGTACGTAGGTGGATAGATAGATAGATAGATAGATAGATAAATAGATAGATAGATAGATAGATAGATAGATAGATAGATAGATAGACCTATTATATATTATATATGCTTGGTATACTTTCTGTTTAGTCTGGATAAAAGTTTACTCAGAACTTCAGTAATAAAACTAAACAGTGAGATTTGGTTTAGTCTGCATTGCTGTTGTTTCACCAGACTTTGGGAAGCTCTGGCTAAGAACAGGCTATATCCTGTCACTAAACCTTACAGAAAGGCCTGCAGAGACTATTACAAAATGGAAAGTGTTGTTTTTGTTTTAAAAAAAGAGCCCATTAAATCTGACAGTGTCTACAGAGTCTACAGGGACTGTTACAAAATGGAAAATGTTGTTTTAGTTATAAAAAGAAAAACGATTCAGGCTGACTCTGTATTCATAAACAGTCTAATCTAGGATGGTTTTATTTCACAGATATTTGCCAGTGAAACAGGTCCGAGATCAGCAATGAATGACCAACAAAAACAAGCACAGGCGCTGAAAGTGATGTACCCAGAGTGCCCTCGTGTGGTCAGTATTATCCAGCAGGCCTCACTTTAACCACCTACACAATGTTAAAGACATTTCATGACAAAATATCAACATTAAACTAAAATGAGACAAAAATGAGACAAAATGAGACTTTATTCAAAATATTTTCAATGACAAAGTATTTACAAATCACTGCAGCATTCAAACCAATATAGCGACTCAACTTTTGAACTTGGAATGAAATGAAGTGTTCAAACACATTCAGGCACTGTGCAAATGTGCTCAAGAAACTTAAACAACAAACACAGTAATGTGGAAAAAAAACTAAACTCACGATCAAATGATCACAGTACATACATACAGTGTTACAGAAGATGCACAAAAACAGCAGTTCACAAAAAACTAACTGAAAAAAGGTCACACAGTTTAAAACTGACTTTCTTTGTGAAAGATATTCAGCACGCTTATGCTTAATATTCCTCCACTTTGAATTTCCATCACTAATATACATATAAAGCTGCAGGGAGACTGTTTTCATGTTTAGAAATAATTAAGAGCTCGTAATTAATTCGGACTCACTACAGTTGTTATCATAATTGCCAAAGCGGCAAGGTATCTCATCACATTCATAAGTATACTGTCATAACACAAAGTTTATGATCGTACTAATGTTTATAAGTCAGCTGGGGTTCAGCGATTCTACCCACTATACCCCTAAGATACAAAACATCTTATAATCTGTACGGGGAAACAGACGAAGCAGAAAACTGACACAGTAACCTTTTGCAGTAACATGGAAAAAGGGCAACTACACCTGAAATCAACCTCCAAAAACTCAGTAAAATGAGCAGCGATCCGCAGTATTCATTCAGAAGCATCACATACTTTGATTATGATTTGGAATGTTCAACTTTCTGAGAACCAAAGACACATCACACATGAGGCCACAGCTTCTTAACTGGGTTATGTGCCATCATGTACTTGCAGACTTAATGCAACATCTCACTTTTTTTCTTTCTTTTCATTTTATTTTTTAATTACTCTGCAAAAAAAAGTATCTTGCAAGGTGAAAATATCTATTAATATCTATTATCTCTCAGAATGAGTTTGTTGTAAGAATATTATCAGATGATGTAAATAATATCTAGACATTTTTTATTCATTGTAAGCAAGTTTATATAGTGAAATTGTCTTCTTATATTGGTAGATATCTTTGCTTGTTTCAAGAGAAAATGCAAATTATTTGCCAACAGAATAAGACAAAGCCTTAAACTTTTAAAAAGTTATTTTGAAGCAATATTTGAAAGTAAAACAGTGGAAAAAAAGAGGAAAACAAAATGTCTAGAAAGACATTAAATGATCTCACATTATTATTACAACTTCTTATTACAAGAAATATTACACATATCAACCAAATTTTAAATGTTTTCATTTGCCAAGGTCCTTTTTGCAATGGTACAAGTGTTGTTTGGGCACACTGTCTTTGCCAATGAGCACTAAGCAAAATTTATTGTATTCTACTAATTCAATAAATCAGTAACCATGGTTGTACAGACTTTTAGCACTGAGCAAGCCTAGCGGTGTCAGTTCTCATAGTCAGTCAGAGGATGCTGACTAATATAGACAAAAAGCAAAACTGCTCTCAGACAGAATAAAACAAATGGAAGGAGGTTTAGGATGGATGTATGAAGCTGCTTAGTGATGCAGAATCTCTAATCTTCTTTCCCGTAAATGCATAGCATACTATATTCAAAGACTTAATACAGGACCACACAACATTATCATCAGTTCTCCTTCTTGCATTCTCTGTGCAAAAAATCTCTGAACAGCTGGCATGTGCTTTATACCAAGTAGGAACATGTACAGTTACCACTATAATCATGCATGGCTTTTCTTGTTTATTGGTGATGCTGGCTTGATACTGGCTCATTGAGGCAATATAGCTGTTTCTAGGGACGTAATTGAACCAATAAAGCGAGGTACACAGTCACTGTTAACACATCTTATCTTTTTCATTATGTGCTTTAAGTCTTACATACACTCACCCTCCATTTCATTAGAAACATCGAGCTTGTACTTCCATATACAAGCCAATTTACAACCTTCTACAACCTGTGCAAATGTCAGAGACAATCCTTCATTCATTTCATGTCCGGACAAAATGGACATTAAGTTATTCAAGATTAGATATAAGATCATTCACTTGTGGAAAAAAGTGAAAAAGTTCAAAATAAATTTGAATTCAAAAATTTATAAGATAAAGAAAATGGGACGCCTAACACCTGTATAAGACCTGGTAGACCACCAAAACGGTCATCATCAGATAAACAATACTTAAAGCTTCAGAAAGATCAGAAAAAAATCAAGCTCCACTCTTGCTTCAGATCTAAAAAAAATCCACAGGTGTTTCTGTCCATCCTTCCACTGTGAGACAACTCGACACTATGAGTCTGAAAGGATGTGCAGCTATTAAGAAGGAAGTCCAGACGTCAACATCACTGCAGATTGAAAAATGTGATACTATATTTAATTATTTAGCTTCTGTTAAATGAATAACTTGTACTTGATGGCTGTTTTGACTGAAAATGAAATGAATGAAAGGAGGTCTGTGACTTATGCACAGTACTGTAGGTGTACAGACTGTAGCCCATCTGTTGTCATGCACAATATGTCAGCCACCCACAACCTCATTCATCACTGTTTCATCACAGAGATCACAACACTGCTGTTGAGCGGATATTATTAGTGTGGTGAAGCATTCAACACAACAGTGACACTGACACTGGTGGGGAGGGGCTCTGTGGTCAGAAACTGACCAGTGATGAAGGGCTAGAGGATGGGCTTTAGCTTCTAACTGTACACCAGCAAGGAGGCCCTACAAGGTTGGTGTTTCTAATACAGTGGCCAGTAAGTGTACATTAAGGCATTCTGTCATAATAGAACATCGCAAATCAAAGCACAACATATAATAAAACAGTAATGCCCTTTACCTCTCCACTCCAGCCTTCTTTTACAATCTATAGGCAGTTTTTATTGCCTGTGAAAATGCTGCAACTCATTTTATTCAGGCAAATATTTTTAAAAGCTAATGAGATACAGCAGAAGTGATAAGAAATACACTATGTTGTTTGAGATAATTCTACAGTAATAAAACAATGTATTGTCAGCCACTGATGTACGGTACAAATGCTCACAGATAAAAGCTTTCGCTTGTAAACTTAAGAGGCACGCTACTTAGTCATTTGTAGCTCCCAAGTTTTGTACTGTGTTACTGGTTGCATCTAGGACATACATAACACAAGAGGCCCACTTCTGGTTACATGGCTACCCATGACATTAAAACCTTCATCATTGTCAGTATCTCTAGAAAAAAAAGCTGTAGAGTGTTGTCACAATGTAACATTTGAATTATGTAATATTATTTTTCTCTTAAAGCTTCAATAAAAAAAAAAATCTACTTATTGTATCTGAAAGGAGCACATCAACAATAATACTGCAATAAAAGAGGATCTGAAATAGACTACACACCAATTGTATTTCCACCATAAATCTCCACTGCTAAATGAAAACTCTCCAGCATTTGCTATGAACATTGATTATTATTGCACTACTGGATGATTAGAGACAGCTACTGTGGGTTTCTGACAAGTAATCGTATTAAAAAGTGGTCATCACGCTCGTAGCTGCCTCTTCTGTTACCTCACACAAGTGAATGCAGATGTGCAAAAACAATAGAGCAGGATACTCCAACTAGACCAAGTGGAACGGTGGGGAAAAGGGCAGTGGACAAAAAACAGGGCCAATCTCTCCGCTGGCAGGTCACTTGGATTTAGGGAGGCCGTTCTTCTCCATGAACTCTTTCAGCTTGGTGGGATAGTCCGTCATCACACCTGTGGCTCCGAGGTCAAAGGCACGTTTAAAGTCCTCCTCGTCATTCAGCACCCACACATACACCTGCAGTCAAAAACAAAGATTCAGTTACTTTCGACATAAACAGGTTCAGTTATTTTCTACATAAACATACCTTTGTACACACTTAATTGAGAAGTAAGCACAGTCTGCTGTATTAATGATATAACTGCTGAGAGCACAATGCCCACCTGTATTCCCCTAGCTGTTAGATGGTCAAAAAGAGCTTTTCTCATGAGGAGGCTGTGAAGAAAAACCAAAGGGCATGCATAATTACTTTCTGCACACAACTATTACACAACAGAAGGACAGGGTGAGCAGCTAAAGTGACCTATGAGCCAATAACCTACTGTAACATGAAGGAATGGTCAATATTTTGGCATAAATAGCAATAGCAAATATTTTGGCCTGAACTTACGTGTCTGCCAACCAAGTGATGAACCGCTCGGCCCGTGTCATCCGCCTGGGGTCTCTGAGTCTAAAGGGAAACACAGGCATTAACAGGAATCCAGTAAAGTTTATTTAACTAAAAATCCTGCACGTGACTGTCACTGTGCTGCACTCTACTCCTGGCATTTAGATTTGAGATACAGATCTGTCATGTGCTTCCCTTATTCAGTAGTTTATAATAAAACAATAGACTGTGTACTAAAAAAGCAGAAGAGTAGGACCTCATCTTTGATTTATTTGCATTTTAGTAAGTAGTGGTGTGAAAATGCATTAATGCAGTGTTTAATCAGTGTTTCTGCTACATATACTTTGCTCCAGTCATAATTTTGTATTCAGTGTATTCATTTTTTTTAATATACTGATTACCATAATACCAAACTAATCTAATCCCATCAAATTATTGTGAAATATGAAATTTGAGCATGCACTGAATTATTTTAAATATTTAATAGTATTTTTATTATGGCAGATCTGTGTAGCAATATTATGATGTGAATATTGCAAAGCAGGCAGGTGTACTCGTGTTGTATTTGAATGCTGCTGCTACACCTGGACCATTTTTTTTAAAACTGTGCCCACTCTATTAGAGACAACCATCTCGTTGGTCCACCTTGTAGATGTAAAGTCACAGATGACAGCTTAGTTTATGTTGGTCATCCTCTAGTCCGTCATCAGTGGTCACAGGACACTGCCCACAGGACGCTGTTGGCTAAATATTTTTGGTTGGTGGACTATTCTCAGTCCAGCAGTGGCACTGAGGTCTTTAAAAACTCCAGCAACACTGCTGTGTCTGATCCTCTTGTACCAGCACAACACACACTAACACACCACCACCACTGCAGTGCTGAGAATGATCCACCACCCAAATAGTACCTGCTCTGTGGTTTCTGTAGGGATCCTGACCACTGAAGAACAGGATAAAAGGGGGCTAACAAAGTATGCAGAGAAACAGATGGACTACAGTCTGTAATTGTACAACTACAAAGTGCACCTATATAGTAAGTGGAGCTGATAAGATGGACAATGACTGTAGATACAAGGAGGTGGTTTTAATGTTATGGCTGATCAGTGTATATGTATGAAATATAAAAAAGGGGTCTTTTTGATATGTTCCTTACTTGGTAGTAATGGAAGGCATAGGGATCTCCAAGAACTGTTCTTTGAGGGGCACAAAGGGCAAAAGGCCTGTGTAGAAAAGCCCCACCAACAGCAGCACTCTGGGCAAACTGAACAGCACTGGGATCAGGGGGTTCTAGCAGACAAAAATGAACAACAACCACGGTCAAGACTGTAACCACTCTAAAACTGAAACAGGAGAATAGCGCAGTATGTAATGGCACAGAATTTAACATACAACAATGAAAACTAACACACAGACATCGCGCTCACCTCTTTGTAACATTTCTGAACTATCTGGTTGCTGGAGTTACCCCATACAGTCAGATGCTCCCTGTCATATTTTACAACCAGCTCAGAGACCTTCAGGGAACATAAAACCATATAAAGCCAAGATGAGCTCCCCATTACATCAACCAATGAATACAATGAGTGTTGATTGAGTTCGAACCTTCTTAATAAGTGTGTCGTCATTGACTTTGATGTCAATGTTAATGGGCATGTTTGGGAAGGCCTCGAAGACATCTCTCAGCAGGGGAATGTGCTTGTCGTTGCCACCTTCAACAAAACACTCTAGAGAAAGAAGACAGACTTTTACATAATTAACCTGAGAACCTGTCCTGCAATAACACTCCGTGAACCTAAGCTGGAGATGATATTTTAAACAAGCAAAAAGGATAATGATTGGCTTAACAAGGTAAGTCAATACAGTTTAGGGATGGGTGTCATTTAAATATATGGTTATATGAGCTTATCTTTGCATTCATTTACTTAATCAGGTACTCAAACAAGGGACGAGTAGTGTAAAGCTGCACAAAGTACAATGTTTCTGTTAAAACAGAAAGAAACAACATTATTGAATCAGAAGACAAATAAAAAACGCACTAAAATATGGTGTACGTGCTGGGAGTTGCCTGTAAAGTCTGAAATAACAATTTAAAAGTCAGAGGCATCAGGTCTGACTTCACGGGAGTTTTCCGGACCACATCATACATCTATATTTATTAACGTCACACACGCAGGCATAAGAAGAAAGTCCAGCTCGTTAATGGACGTTACAAAATGTTCTTCTTCACCATGTATATTGTCATTTACACATGACAATATAAAGTAGAAAGTGCATGAATGTGGCTTGTTTCAAGGATGAGAGGATTGGATAAACAAAGTAACTACAGTCTAAATCTCAATGAGGGTTAATCATCAACCTGCTCATTTATATTTGAAGACATAATTGGCACTAATCGCTGGTCATTTTTGCTCCTGTGTGCAAAGCAAGACTTCCTAAGCAAGTTTTTTTTTTTTTATTATGAACTAGAGTTTTGTGTGTTCTGGTTGTCAAGCAGGCTGGTGTCTCCTACTGCATTATCAGAACGATACTTAGCAAAGGTCTTAGTTATGGTTATACTTCTTCTACTTTAAGTTCACTTCTGGATTAATGTTAATGGAACACCATCCCCCTTGATTTTATTTCTTTATATTGTTATTTTTTGCAGGCTATCAGGAATGAAATTCAACTTCAGCCAACCCACAATTTGATACACCCACCCACAATGCAATACTATTTTAAATGAGGATATTTGAATGGTCAAATATTTAAATGGACATCCTGGAAATGTTTGACTTAACAATATGTTTCCCCTCAGGCCACTAAATCATGATGGTCTTAGTGCAAGAACAGTTTAAAATGCACCCTGTGCAGCTTATCTGGCTGTGCACACATTTCAGCAACTCACACTGACACCCAGGTCTGGAACAATAAGTGGACTGTTACATATTTCACTCAGCTGTGACCTCAGGAGGATTTAAACCACAGCTCAATACTGGACCACTCACCTCGCTTGAAAGTCACCCCAAGCTTACACAAGTAAGGTGGAAGATCCTAGGATGGAAAAACACACAAACACACATATCTTTCTTTAGGACCACAGCTTGTTGATATATGTATCAACTTTCAATTTTGCACATCTATACACTCTATACAGAGCTCAATGCTTGCCAGTATACTAATGTACATAGAGTGCAAATGTCAAAGAACCACAGTAAGTGTGAATATGAGATGGATCAAATTGCCCCTGTTTCTGCTCCCACTCACAGCATACGCCACATCTGAAATGTTGGCGCTAACACCAGTCGACCTCTTCAGGTTGGAATCATGCAGCACCACCACCTGCTCGTCCTTGGTCAAGTGACAATCCAGCTCCAGCATATCTGTGCCAAGTTGTACAGCACTGTGGGGGGAGGGAATGGGGATGGAAAAGAGGGGACAGGGGAGTGCACAGTTCAGCTAATCAGAGAAGGGAGGCACTACAAACACACAGCAGCACTGAAGAACAGTTAACTGCATGTGAATTGACTTATTGAATAAGTATGCAATGAATAAAATGTGGCAAGTGATGAGGAAAACGTACTGCCTGAAGGCTGCCATTGTGTTCTCTAGGTTCTCACCTGCACCTATAGGCAGGGAAAGATTAAAAAATAAATAAATAAATAAATAAAAGATTTATCAGCAGTGTACCATCAGTGTCAATGCAGTCACACTGTCTCAGCTGTTTCAGCAGTTAAAGTGGGTCAAGACCTTATGACCCTTTGATAATCCATATGTTATTGCTGAAACTCAGGCCAAAGCACAGGGTCCAACAGGGCATTAGGTTTAAACGTTAATTTTCCACCAGTGTTCAAAATTTCTTCAGAATTCAGTTGTTGAGACCAAAAGCCATTCAGAGTCAAAGTTGCTGTGAAATGGAGCACTGTAGAGAAACTTGCCCTGAAAAGGCCCTTAATGTATCTCTCCAACATGAATGGATTTTGAATACGTTTTAGGCCAAAAGCTTCTCAAAACTACCATAAAACATAGTCTTAGGCATGAGGCAACGTATTCATCACCATTTCATATAATGACTTTCTGTGAAGGAGCTCTTAAAGGCATTAAACTCTTTGGACATTTGGTTCCTGTCCCCACCACAGTGAACAATTCTGATTCAGATTCTACAACAGTGCATTTCACAGCAAATCACTCTGAATGACTTTGTTTACAGCTTAACCATTTAATTAAACAGAAATTTGGAAAAAATGATGGAATTCCTCTTTAAAATTGGCAGAGTTGAACCAGGTTACCAGTAAGGGTGTGACTAGGTGGGACATTAATGGGGAACTCCACTGATTTTTCTAAAATTCTACATGATTGAATGGATAAGATGTAAACAAAGTGATTCAGAGTGGTTTGGCGTGAGATGCTCCGTTCTAGAGAAACGTGACGAGTCAGAATTGATCACAGTGGTGGTGATAGGAACCAAATGAAAAGTTTAATTCCTCTGAAAACTCCCTCACAGAAAGTTATTACATGAAATGGTTAGATGTATGCCGCCTGAAGTCTGACACATTGTTTTATGATAGTTTCATGATAGGGTTTTGGCTTAAGATGTATTTTAGGCCACTTATTTTAATTCATTCTTAGCGGAGGGATACATGCAGGGAGTTGTAAGGCAAAACCGTCCCCAAAAAGAACTTTTTTTTTTTTCAGATTTACCACCTTTTACCATCATCGGCATTACATATGAAAACTCAGAAGGCATGTGTAGGTTCACTGGTGGTTTTGGATAGTAAATAAATTTGGTTATAGTTGTGCTGTAGACATTGTGACCCCTGGTTCCTATCACCACCACTGTAAAGAAAACGTAGTCTGAAGCATTTCACATCAAAACACAAATGACTTTGTTCACATCTGAAGGGCTGAATTATTCAAACATTTTGAAAAATGTATGGAATTTCCCTTTAAGACAACGTTAGCATGTTTTACATAACTGTAACAGGCGGCTGCAGATTTACTTCAAGATATTCCTCACACTTATAAACGGTTAAACGTAGCCGAAAGTTGGTCACTAATTCTCCACAGCCACCTATAACTGAGTTATCACAGATAACTTCCAGGAAAGCCATTCAGACAGGCTAAAAAGTGTGCAATGCGTTTCAACTGGAAAAATGGGAATGTCAAATAAGCCGCTTATGATGGTTTCACTCACCACCGCGATGTGATATGTGTCTGCTGCGAAACGTCTCTCTCTTCCTCCGGTGCAGCAGGGACGGACATTTCAGTAATAACGCCGAGGTGAGGACGTAACCCGTAACCGTGGATAACACATACACTGCGGCACTCATGCCTACAATTCCTGTCTCACAGGTTTACAGTAAGCAGCCAAAATATGACAGTGCGATGTAGCTAGCGGCTAGCAGACTCTTCACCAGCTAACATCTACTGCAGGAGCGTTAGCCTGTGTGCTACAGCGGGGCGAGCATAAGAAGCGTACCGGCCGGCTTTGTAAACCAGACAGACAGACAGCTGCCTACTGAATATCGGTCCTTCAGTAAACAGATCAGTGTAAATGCAAGTTTCGAAGCAATCTCTTAATTGTCAGCCAGACTGCGCTCTGTCATAGCTGAACCGCTGTCTGCGATTCCTGATTTTCCATCCACGGCCAGCCGCAGCTCGCTCTGATCTGTCATGTTAGCACATCCGTGCGCTCGACGCAGTCAGAGTTGTTTTGTGTCATAAGCTTTCTGATTGGCTGCGCGGGAATGACAGACTCATCGCTGATTGGCTGAAAAATTCCACCAAGCAGTAGCCAATCAGAGCAGAGTCCGCCATTTAAAAGCCGCTGTGTATCTTTTTCGTTGTTGTATTGTTCCTTGGGAAGTTTGGAAATATGATGGAACGTACGTTGGTTAATCATTTTTCTAAAAGAGTGTTATAGGTTGCCTTTGAGGCCAGAGGTGGTGGGCTTTGGCCTACCACCTATCCACGTTACTGTGCATGTTGAGAGCTCGATTCCTTGCTTTTAACTTAGATATCCACTTTCAGTTCTCTCATTGTCTGGCTGTGGAGGTTGTGTCTTTCCTTTTAAGGGGATGGAGGTACCAGAACCCATAGCACCGATTCCTTAAACTGTTCTGAGAATCCACAGCAGTTCTCCAGCTTGGTTTGACATTATTATCTTCGAACTGGCCTTCTTGGGTGTGTCCTGGAGGCAGTGCTCCTATCTCAGCAGGCAGTGCTATCATTATCAAGGTGCACTTTGACAAGTTTGCATGTAATGAGGGCTGCAGCAGTTTGCATGGGACACTCTAAACATTCCTGATGGCCTGTTTATGACTGTTTCTTGCTGCCTTGCCTGTGGCAGGATACTGCTCTCTGCTCAAAGCATCCCACTCTTTTGTGAGAAGCTGTTTGAAATGTCTGTTCCAGAGGCTGGCCAGGTTTATGATGGCAAATGAGGTTAGAGAACTTGTTTAGTGTCAACATAGACTGAAAGAAGAGGAAGTTCAAATGATTCTTAGCCCTTGATACTTACATCCCAAGCAAAAGGGTTACCATTAATTTCGGACCATTCAGTCAAGAGATCATTTATGAGGTCAGACACTGATTTTGTACAAGAAGGCCTGACTCTCAATCAATATTCCCCTTAATCCCAAAGGTGTTCAGTGGGGTTGAGGTCAGGGCTCTGAGCAGACCACTGTTCATCCACACCAAACTGACCAAGCTGTGTCTTTATGGACCCATTCTACTACAAGTGTTTGTCAATGGAGATTGCATGGCTATGTGCTTAATTTTATCCACCTATTAGCAATGAGTGTGGCTGAAACGTCTGTAATTAGGAGGGGTGTCTACATACTTTTGGCCATATAATTTATATACATTACTCTGAATGAACTCATACTCTCATCCCATGGCACAAGGCCCATATCACAGTTGCCTGATACAAATACTGCCATGTCCTTTCCTCTGTCTGCAATACCTCCCCCATCCGTGCTTAAAAGTGACAGAAACCCCATGTCATACATCTTATTCAGATGTTCATCACCATTGCTTCTCGAAGCAGCTGTGGTCCCCTTTGTACCCTAATGTGTCAGAAGTTAACAATTGTTCAGAGCTTGTTTTATGGCTTTGAACTACAGCCTGTGCAACCACCTCTGAAGCTTTTCACTTTGCTTATCTTGATTGCTATGCTAGACAAGCCCAGGTTTTTGTGCAATAATTGAATTAAATACAAACAATAAATTACATATTTATTGTTTTTATTATAGTCTATACATAATTGATGTGAAATTAGCCAAGATCTTATTTTCTTTTTTACGTTTAGACATTCAATGAAGAATTCTTTGAAATGTGACTCTGCACTATTATAGAAGTGAATTGTCTTGTTGCTTCATCAGTCTTGCCCTTATTTTATAGTTGTTCTTTTACACAATTGATAGCATCATCACTTATTATATTGTGCAACTAAGATATAGTTCCATGTAGCCTCACACAGAGAAAATGCAAAGTAGACATAATATCTTAACATCCACAGCTTGATCAGAGAGAATTTAGCAGATGTGGTTAAAACCGCTGCCTTTTGGCCTCACAGTGTTTTGCTTTGAATGTCGTAATGTAACATCACACTTGTAAGACTCTTATCAGTGTAACATGTAATATATCCCAGACACAAATGTGCCAAAGGTCAGCAAAGTTGCAACAGTCAAAGTTCACTGCAAGTTATAAACAAAGTCCATACAAATCAATTGCGTTCATAGACGCTGTTTGAGACGGGGCTTCTTCGGAAAAAAACAGCCCCTGGGAAATTGTTTTAAATTGAAAATCCATTGAAAAGCATCTTCTGAATTCCCCTCGTGACATTTTCTGCATCTCCATCTGTGGTTCATTTTGAGGAAGATCCAAATGTCATCTCAACTAACAGAGGCTCTCCAAGAATGGGAGCGTTTGGAGAAAGAGTTTCAGCAGATTCAGGTAAGATTTCAAACGTTTTTCACACAGAACATACATTCATAAATTTCACTTATGTGCTGACCCTCAGTTTCTAGAAAAGTTAAATATACTTACTAGCCACTGTATTAGAAACACCTACCTTCTTGTTATGCCTTAAAGATGTACAGTGAGAAGTCATAGCACATCTTTTACCAAGAATAATTTGTGCTAATCATCCTCTAGTCCATCAGTAGTCAGTTTCTGGCCACTGGATCACTGTTGGGTGTTTGTATTTTGCAGATTATGCTCAACCTGACATTGAGACATTGAGTTATTTAAAAATACCTGCAGCAACACTGTGCCTAATACACTCATACCAGCACTACACACATTGCCATGTCAGTATCTGCTGGGTTGTGAGAGCAGTACACCACCCAGATAATAGCTGGTCATGTGGTGGTCCTATGCTGGTCTCTTTCCATTGATGGATGACATAGAAGAAGGCTGATAAATTCAGCAACAAATGAGCTACAGTCACTTATTGTGAACCTATAGTACAGTGCAAAGGTCAGAGACCACCTTTCCTTTATTTATACAAGTTATTGATTTTCCAGAAGATATAGCTGAGGAGATTAGATATAAGATTATTCACTTGCATAATGAAAGGGAAAGTCAGAAGAGAATAAGTGAAGAAACAGGAGTTTCCAAAACTGGATGTAGAAAGATTATCAAAAGATATAGTGAAAATGGGACTCCTAACAACCATGCAAGGCCTGGTAGACCACCAAAACTGTCCCCATCAGATCAACAGCACCTAAAGTTTTCATCTTTGAGAGAGAGGAGAAAATCAAGCTCCACTCTTACTTCAGATCTGAAGAAATCCACGTGTTTCTGTCCATTCTGCCACCATGAGAAGACAGCTCAACATTTTGAGACCACCCTAGAGTCCAGACCACAACATCACTCAATGTGTTTGGGATTACTTGGATGGTGAGAAGCAGAAAATGCAACCAACTTCTAAGTTTGGAAAGCAAGTCTCTTAAATGGAAGCAGTAATAAAGACAAAGGGTAAACGCACTGAATACTGAAAAATAGTTATATTGAATTGTTTATGCTTCTGTGTAATATTTTATTAAATACTTAATAGCCATTTTCACTGAAAATTAATTAAATGAAGTCTCTGACTTTTGTGCATACTTCATAAGGTAGGTGTTTCTGATAAAATAGCCAAAAAGTGTAGGCACAAGATAGGTGTACAGCTCGGTGTATGTACATATCAGTGAATGTAATGAAATAGAGGCCTCATTTCAGAACTGCATGCAGCTGATGTTTACATAGCATCACAATAAGCATTTAAATGTCTGTGTAATGTCTGTGCTTCCATCTATGTTGAAATGCTACCCATGCTGGCTGGTGCCTCTGCAAGCCTCAGGCCTCAAGTAACGTCGTACATTTTAATGTGTAAACTTGTCATTCTGTGGTTCTTAGGAGAGTCATCGGCTTTACCTGCAGAAGCTGGATGAAGTCTCCAAGATGCAGAACAACTTTACTGCCTCCATCACTCGACACAGGAAGTATTTAAAGGACTTGTCTCAGTCGCTAAACAAGTGAGGAATGAATAAGTCTCAAAACTTCACTTTTGCCTGTGTAATGTCTGTGCTTCCATCCATGTTGAAATGCTACCCATGCTGGCTGGTGCCTCTGCAAGCCTCAGGCCTCAAGGCATCTCAGTGGGGGGCTCTCTTTTATGCTGTTTCTGAGTTTCTTTCTCTCTCACTCTATTCTCACTATTTCTGTTGTTCACACGCACTATTTCACACAAATTCTGTAACTTCTGGAAAACACAATTAAAAAACAGTCCAATTTTTATTCTCTTACAGCTACAAATGGCAAAATTGTGAAAACAGACTGCATTATAAGTCCAAAAGTTTGTAGACACATGCTCATTTAATGTTTCTTCTGAAATAAAGGGTAGTAATAGGGTGTTTGTCCCCACTTTGCTGCTGTAACAGTTTCTGTTCATCTGAGAAAGCTTTACACTAGATGTTGGAACATTGCTGTGAGGATTTGATTGCATTCAGCCACAAAAGCTTTAGAGAGGCTAGGAACTGATGGGTGATGACCATATGTGGTTTTTGTTGCACAAAGTCCACTCCCGATTTATCCCAGAGGTACTCAACGGGGCTCCATTAGCTTCATACACCTCTGGGCATGGTAACCTTTGGCTGATGTGTGGCTGCTCCAGAATGCCCCATTCTATTGACAGCGTTTTTCTATTGAGATTAAACAGGCTGTTTATGTGCAGCTGAATGTCAGCAATGGGTGCATCTTAAAGTAGGTACATTCACTAAATAAAGGGGTTTCTACAAACCTTTGAACATATAGCGTACTTCTGTTCCAGCCCTGAAGTAGAGGTTTAGAGGTTGTACAAACACCCTAATTAGAAGTGCTGTCTGGATGCTTTTGTAATTTAAAGACAAGGTGAGCATCTACAGTGAACCATCAGAATGAAGTAGTATCAACACTTCAATTACAGATGCAGTAAAGGACTTACAGGACAGAATGCAAAGCAGGTGGAGGATATAAAGAGGCACATCCAGGAGAGGCCCAACATTTTCTCACAGATGGAGTCATTTCTTCCCAAAGAAAATGGGTAATGCAGGAACACCAGCTAATGATGTGGTTTCGGGTGCTCTGTGCTCTCAATATTCATTGTCTTTTTTTTCTCTCCTATAGGATATATCTCAGTCTTGTCCTTGGGAGTGTGAATGTCAACCTTCTAAGTAAGCAGTCAAAGTAAGAAATGACGTGAACGTTCATTCTTGTGTATAGATAACCACCCATATACACTCACCATCCACTGTACACTTTACACTGCAGCTCCACGTAGCTAGTGTACAGTTAGAGACTGAAGCCTATCTGTTGATGCACAGTCTGTGCTAGTCATCCTTTAGTCCTACATCAGTGGTCAGTTTCTGGCCACAGAGCTGCTCTTGGCTGGATATTTTTGGGTGGCGGACCACTCTAAACCCAGCGGTGACACTGCTCTGCCTGATGTGTCACTGTGTGTTTGGAATGTTCCACCATCCAAACAATACCTGGTCAACAGCAGTCCCGGGGTTGGAATCTGAACAATGTTGAATATACAAGAAGGTGTGCCCAACCTTTGTTCTGGTGATCTAGCACCTTAGAGAGTTTAGTCCCATCACAGCTGGTGTTAATGTTGTAGCATTTACTGCAATGAAAGGAGACACAGCTTATGCACAAGGCATTGTAGTTGGCCACTGCCATGCTGTACAGTAAGCAAGACTTTAGGCTAACAGCTCACACTAAAGTCAGCTCATGTATGCACTCTCTTGCTTCCAGCTCTCGACTCCCCCCCAGCTCCGGTCTGCTCTGACACATATCCACCCAAAGGCAAACTAGCCCCACCTTCTCATTATTCTGATCTCTGTCAGAATAAACCCAGAGAATAACTGCAGTAACAATACCCAGAATAAACATGCAGAACATTTCTCAAACATGCTACAATGTTTAGGTGCTCCTGAAGGCTTTCATTAACTCGTCAGGTGTGTTAGACTAGAGTTAGAATTAATCCGCACAAGGCAACTGATCACCGAGACCAGGGATAAACACAATGCATCTAAAATGATGTAAGCCCTGTCCCATTTGGCTCACTAGTGGTCCTGCAGTACTCATTTGCAGCTGCCTGCAAGGCCATATTGTGTCCCAATTTTTATTTTGGCATTCATAGATCTGTGTACCCTTATATGTTAATTCCACTGATTTCTACATAATTCAGTCATTCAGAAAAGTAAACACAGCCTGTATTTTGTTGTAATGTGTACCATTCTAGAGAAACATAGAATCAGAATTTCTCACATATAGGAAACAGACAACTAAAGCGTTTAATCTCTCTAATAGCTTTTACAAGAAATAGCATGTTGCCTGATAAATATGATAGTTTTGAGATAAGGCAAAATGACCCCAAAGAAAACATTTTTTTAGGATTTACCGCTATTTTACCATCACCTATGTTTTATACAGATATATATATAGATATGAAGACACATGTAGGTGGTTTTGGGTAGTAAAAAAATATATCTGTGCCGTAGACATTGTGACCCCTGGTTCCTATCACCACCACTGTAAAGAAATATGAGTCAGTAAGTTTCTCTACAACGAACCGTTTCACATCAAACCGTTCTAAGCAACTTTGTTTACATCTCAAGGGCTGAATTATGCAGAAATGAAAAAATAAATGTTGGAATTTTCCTTTAATGCAGGCTTGAGATACATACCACGAGAGGAATATGTCTAGGACTGGGCAGAGTCACAGGGTTTCTCTGACCAACATTTCAGAGAAGAAGTTATTCAGATGTGAGATAAAATGCATGTGTTTATTAATTTACCTTTTTATCGTTATGCTTGTAATCTACATTCAGCTACTGTATATAAGTAAATGATCTCATTTAAATAAGCGTGTATTACCGATAACAGAACCTCTCTGGGGACAGTATATGTATAGCCTGGGCAGTGCACTAGTCTGTCCCAAGTCCCAAGCTTTGATTCGGTCAAGGACCCATTTGTTTGTTTTCTTTGCCGTCCAAGTCTTCACCAGCATCAAAGTTCAAAGGCATCAGCAGTTTTCCTGTCCTGCTTTTTTATTGTGCAGCTTTCACATCCATAAAGAACCACAGAGATGACCATGGCCTGGACAATTCTGATCTTTGTTTGTAGAGACAAACTGTTGTCCTTTTTCTGCCAAGTGCCAATCTGTGATGAATTTCTTGACTGCTGGATATTGCAGTGGATGGTGAATGTGTTTATTAATGTGATACCACTAGGTGATTTTTTGGTCCTGGCGTATGTCTACACCGCACAGCTTAGTGCCTCTTTACTGTAATAAAACGTAAATCATCTCACAAATGGCTCAATTAGGAGCAAAATGTGTCAAGGAAACCAATAAACTTTACAGAACAGGATACTCCAGAATGAGGACTGACAAATATTGCCAGTTTTTCGCAGCTTCAGTCCTGTAGTCCACACAACCTGCACATGTTTGTGTTATCACTTCAACTGAGTCATATCACTAGCTAAAGATAGTCCTGTATGAGCAGAATAAGATGTGTCAGAGCAGGACAACATAAGCTGTGCAATAAGAGTTCTGAATTACATGTCTTCCCACGAGGTGGCAGTATATTCCTTCTCAACTGGACTACATGTTTGAGTGAAATTGCAGATCTATGAAATTCAAATCTAGCGTCCTGTGGATTTGTGTAATGAACTCAGAAGAGAAAAACTCATAAACATTTAATTCATAGAGCTGCATGATTAACTATCATCTGTCTTTCGTTGTCATTTTACTACAGGGCTGCCTACAAAGATGAATATGAGAAATTTAAGCTGGGTGTGACTGTGATTCTGCTCCTGCTGGCCTTCATTTGTCAGTTTTTAGTCACCTACAGGTAAGGCAGAGCTCTTAAAACGTTCTTGGACAAACCTTATTTGGTTTAAACACAGCTGGCATCAGAACCATCCTTCTTTTTTTTTGGTTTGTGTCATGTAGGTTTGTGGACGCACTCCTGAACTTCCTTCTGGTCTGGTACTACTGCACCTTAACAATCCGTGAGAGCATTCTCATCAGTAACGGCTCCAGGTCAGTTAGTGCTGGTGGTCGAGTTCAGCTGACACTTGGCAGGTCACTTATTGTTGATGGTTCTACACTTCAGCCTTAGGTTATGGGCATAGAAGAAGCTAGAAACCTAGGTGTATTATTATACTTTAAAGAGGGATTCTATTGATTATTCAAAATGTCCATTCTAGTGAAACCATAATCATAATCGTTTACAAAAGCAGTGATAGGAACCAGACGTCTGAAGCATTTAATGCCGCTAATTGGGTCGAGTGCAGGTTTGATGGCCTTTAATGACGGGAAAGCTATTCTGCATCTAATTCATGAAACATTCATACAACGTAAAAACAAGCAGAGATTTCAGCACAAATGAAAAATCAGCTTCCGCGTGTGAAATCAAGTGCAACCCACAAGCTACTCATTTACATATAATTTACATGAAGCATGCCCTAATTCATGTAGATGTTTTGGCAGGGAGCCAATAAAACAACAGCATTCAGTAGCTCATGAGCAAATGACTGTGAGTGTACTGTTCCCCCCACTGACCAAACTTTATAGTGTTAAAATTACAACGACAAACAAAACCAAAAAAAATGTGAAATGAACAAAATGCCTTAGGTTTATTTAAGACAGTAGAATAATGTGATTGTGTAGTGAGATTATTTTCATAAAGTAACATATTTAAACACTGTTACAGTGTGAGATGCTTCTGCCCTAGCTGTGTTTTATAGTTTTCATATTTTGAGTGGTGTCAGTAGTATAAAACAAAGGCACAGTGTAATAGGTCTTTAAATGAAACATGGAGGGTTTGTAGCATTTGTTCACACCAATATGCATGTGAAATATGAACATCCACTTTTGTACTGGATTGCCAGGTGCATAAATTAGTAGTGTTATTGGTGTTATAGATGATGTATAGATTTATATTGATAATAGTTTTGGTTAGTTAACCAAAAATCAAGCTGTTTTTTCAGGTTGTTAAACTACTATGCTTAAATTTACAAACAGCCCAACTGGATGTGAGTTCGATCAAACTGATACGCCAAAGATGAAACATTCATAGCAGAGAGGTACATGCAGGCTGTACCAAGAAATAGATTTTTTGGATTTACTGCTATTTTACCATTATTAGCATTACATTTGAAAAAATACAAACACACATGCAGGTTCACTGGTCATTTTGTATAGTAAATAGAAGAACTGATCTGGTAAGTTTATCCACAATGTACCGTTTCACATCAAACTGCTCCCAATGATTTTTTTTTCACATCTCAAGGATTGAATTATGCAGACACTATTTTTGGAACATTTTGGAAAATCAGAGGAATTCACCTGTTATCAGAGGATTTTTTCACTTTTTAAGGCTAAAACCACTGTCATTGGCTATGCTAGCAGTCAGGACTTCTTTATCACTGCGGTGGGATTCCCAAAGATTGTATGATGTATTTGTGCAATGCATACTGGGTGTTGTGATGAGAGATGGAAGAAAACACAAAATGGATCCAAAATCATGAATTCTGTCACAACGATGAGGCTGAGGGTTGCAGTGCTGCACTACAGAATGTGACATAACATGACAAATAACATTTCAAGGCTGGAATGCCCCTTTGAGGCGTATACAGTAACTAAAAGGAATTGTTCAATAACTATTATGAAGTTTACATGATCATAGGCTGGGTGTTGTATATAACGTAATGCCCTGTCTGTTTCAGGATTAAAGGCTGGTGGGTGTTCCATCACTACATCTCCACCTTCCTGTCAGGGGTCATGCTCACCTGGTAAGCAATAAAAAAAAAAAAAACCTTTTCAATAAACAGTCGACATGTTCTTATGCTTCACACACAAAGCTGTGTCTTACACCTGACAACACCTCTTATAGCACCTAGATTGTACTTCCATTCACTTTATGACCTTCACCTGTGTAGTGGAATTTCTGCCATATTGAAAAGCAACAGTATAGTACTCTGCAAAAATGTGAAATGCAATGCGAGCATGACATTACTTTTCAACAGTGACATGCAGAATATGTGCCAAAATGAAAAACAAAACCTTTATTACACTGTTTTCATGTCGCTTGACCTCTTTACAGAAAAACAACACAAGAGGATTTGCGTTTTAAGAACAAAGTGCTGAATTCGTACCAGAATTAAATACAATCCCCCTTGAAATGCAATGAAGGCACAGCTATATTGCTTTCCACTGTACTTAAAACAATGTTAAATCCGTGAAATGGATCTTTAACTTTTAATTCTGTGATGTTCTTCGCATGTTGCTGTTTAAACACAATCTCGTGTATGCATCACATTTCACTGTTTTGGTTGTATTTCAATATGTTTGAAGTACGAAAAGGAGGTCAAGTGACTTGTTTTCATTTCGTTTTCATTGTTATGACTGCATTTGAATGAGGCAAATCCATTTAAAGTACTGCACAGTGCAAAGCAATACAGCTGTGCCTTCATTACATTAATGAAGGTGGATTGTGTTCAATTCTGACACAAATTCAACATTTTATTTTTTAAATACTAATCCTCATGTGTTGTTTTCAGTAAAGAGGTCAAGTGAAAACGGTTTTGTTTCTCATTATAGCATGTGTCCTGCATGTACCTATTGAAAAGTAATGTCACGTGTGCAGTGTACTGTAATAATTGCTTTTCAATGTGGCACAAATTCCTCTCTATATTCACATACCTTATAGACAGAATAATTCTAATTCAGTTGGAACAAAATCCTGGGGAGAATGTTTTCTTTTCGACCTGAACCACCCATCGGTGTATACAGGTCCATTATTTAGGTCTACAATTATACTTTGGCAGCTGGCCTCTACCCCAGTTCATCATGATTAATTTCTGACAGAGCCGCTATTGACCAGATATTATGTGAGTGGTGGACTATTATAAATACAGCAGTGACATTAGCATGGTAGTGTGTGTTGAGCTGGTATCTACCCAAAAAAATCCAGCCAAGAGCAGTTCTCTGGTCAGAAACTGACCACTGATGGAGGACTAGAGGAAGACTGACACAAACTGTACATTATGAGATGAGATACAGTCTCTAACTGCACACCACAATAGACAGGGGGCATCTATTTCTTTTGCCAAATGATCCATAACTCAGCACGTTGCCAGTATAATGGGTTTGGAAGCTACAGTATTTCTCCAATTTATACGTTACTCTCTGTATTTTAGCTTTATTATGCTGCATTGCTCGAAAGCTCCTCATGCTGTGTGATGTTTAACATTCCTCCTCAGGCCTGAAGGCGAACTGTACCAGATGTTCAGGAGCCAGTTTCTGACCTACTGTTTGTATCAAGGTAAGTCGTAAGGAAATGCACTGCAGCATCTTTTTAGCAGTCCTTTGATACTACTTAAAATATTGAGAAATGCTGTTTACTTTTTGTTCCTGCAGGCTTTGTACAGTGCCTTCAGTATTACTATCAAAGTGGATGCCTTTACAGACTCAAAGCCCTCGGGGAAAGACACAACCTGGACTTGACAGTGGGTAAGGAGAAGTATCAATATCACAAAGCAGGGAGGTCAGATTGGCTTCCTTCCAGGTCACAGCTCTGCAAAGAATGTTTTTTCCCCTTTTAACATTCCAAGATAAACTAATGAAGACCTTTTTAACAAGCTGATGAGTTGAATCAAGTTTGTTTTATGGGTCAGAACATAAACTCTGCAGTGCTGTGACCTGTAAGGAACCCAGTTTAACGTTCCTGACTTAAACTCCAGACTAATTCTGTAAAAATCAAATTTACACAGTTTTGATCCTGTGGTTTAACAAGTGTTGCAGTGGCAGATTTTCACCCCTGTGATGTTGGGGTGCATTACCATCTGAAACCTGATGGGGGTGGGACTAATTTACAACTTACTTTAAAACTATTGAGTACTTCAATATGGAAAAAAAATATGTCTATGTCGTTGCCTTAATGTAACTTTGTTTTGCTTACTGAACATAAAATATCAACATCAGAAATTAGGCTACATTTATGCCAGAAGTGACGCTGCACAACATGTCTGAATGTTTGTGAGTAAAGAACGTTGCAGGAGTATTTTGTACATGCTTTAAGGAGTGTGACATTCAGAGCAAGCAGTAAAAAATAGACTTGCAGCTTAATTGCACATCATGCATCATGACCGATGCTTGCTGCATGGGTTTGGTATAAAAGGCTACACTGCCTAACACAGTTATTGCGCTGTGGAAACACAGTTGTTTCTGCTTAAAGTTTACTTAGCTATACTCTCCTGGAAAAACAAAGCAAAAAAAAAAAAGTTTCTGAAATGTATGTGTTTATAGCGAACAAATACCCTCTACTGTGGTTGTCATATTACAATTGCAGTATTGCTATGACTGTTGCAGGCCTACAATCAACCACGACACATCTTTGGTGTTGTGTTTGGTTTGTTTTGTGCTAGAGCTTTGTGGCTAATGCAGCTAACAAGTAATGGAAGCTTATACCCCATCAATTCAGACACAAAACCTATCTTGGCTGATTGACTACATTAAGAGAAAGTGGAACATTATGTACATTTTTTGTCAAACTACTGCTTCTGTTTCCTTCCTCCATCTACCATTTCACCATTTGCCCTTATAGAAGCCTTCATAGATAAGAGAGAATCAGGCCTTTAGTTTCCTGAGCTGTGATAAATTCTTTCCTCTGCAGAGGGATTTCAGTCATGGATGTGGCGAGGGCTGACATTTCTGCTGCCGTTTCTGTTCTTTGGTCATGTGAGTACATTTCTATGTCCCTGGCACCGACCACATCGAGTGCAGTTTGTCAAGAAGAGCCTGATGGTTGAATTAAATAACATTGTTTTGAATTGGAGACAAACTCTTCTTAAAAGGCTCATATAAAGGAAAACCTGCTTTAAAAAAAAAGTCTTTGATGTGGTATGTAAACATTGGTAAAGTTTTCAGTCTATACACAACATATCTGGAAACTAACCCTGTTTGGAATTGTTTTTTGCCCATTCACACTGAAACATAAGGACTGTTTCAGCCCAGAACGCTTTTTTAAAATTGGCCTCAATACTGGGCCGCCAGTCAAAACAGATCTCATTTACATAAATCAGTCTTAAAGGCACAGTAACAATAACAGCTTGTTTAATTCTGTTTAAAATGAATTTGGACTGTTTTTGATACATAAACCCATGCAGATATCATCAGCAGACCTAAAATACACAAAATTCACAAAAAATCTAGGACTTTACATTGATCAAGCTGATTTTTCTATCATCCATGACTCTCTCATTGTGGTCTTTCTTTCAGTTCTGGCAGCTTTTTAACAGCGTCACCCTGTTCAGAATGGCCAAGCTTCCCCAGTGTAAAGAGTGGCAGGTCAGTGCTGCACCATACAGCTTTCTAGACTGTGTCCACCACATGACTTTGACATATTATAGCTTCTGCTGCATATAATGTTTAATACACTGAACCCACAGTGCTAAATCAGGCCAATAGGCCAACAGAGAACTGAAAAACAGCACAATGTCTTTGATCATTATTACTGAAAAGAATCAAAAGACACTTCAAACACATTTATTGAATTAGATATATTTTTAATGAACAAATCTTTTCTCTTCTCTGCCAGGTTTTCATATGTGGGTTTTCCTTCCTGGTTTTATTCGCTGGTAACTTTCTCACTACGCTTGCAGTGGTCCGTCACAAGAGGAAAACCAAGAATCAGGGAAAGAGCAAGAGCCTGTGAACCAATGAGCTGCTAATTTACTGTCTGTAATGCATAATGTGGAGTTCACAGTTTATTTTTATGTCCTGCTTTAAACTAGTTTGTAACAAATAGTAATATTCTGACTCTGACTTCTGTTGATGTGTTACTCTGTCTAAACTGCAGAGATAAAAGAGGCTTCAGGAAAAATCAATGGAAGCAATTTTGTTGTGTTAAAATCTTGCTTCAATGCTCTTGATGATGAACCATAAATAAATTCAAAATATAACCTTTCTGAGATGAAGGAAATGTGTTTGTGCTTGTAGAAATGGACTAATCTACAATAAGCAGGTTTAACAATAGTATAATGTTCTCCAGAAAGCAGCATGGTCCAAATGTTTTTACAGTTCATCATCTGTTCCCTTCTTTCAGGGAAACAATGAGCAAACCAATTAATTAAAAATAAAACATTAAAATGAATTACAATTAATTAATAATAAAGGTGGCTGTAAATAAAAATAACTTTTCATTGAAATTTTTATTTACAAGTAAAGGGGGTAAAAAAGGCTTAATGATACATTACATATAAAAAACCCCTGAAGTCTCTATTGGAACGCTGCACGCTTGAATGAAATAAATGGCAATACATTGAGTTAAATTTGTAAGATTTTGTTTTTTTATTTTTACTTCATTTCTTAATTTAATTAATTTGTGTAATTTATATACAGTTGTTTGCAAAAGTTTGAACGCACTCAGTCAAATTACATGTTGTATTGATTTTTTAAATTAAAAGCAGTGAATCCTCTAGGATTCTATTTATTTACGGTGTTTAACTTATTGGAAAAAATAAAGCATGAAATGTGCCATTACCTTTGCACAGGTCACATTTTCCATTTTATGTTTTTCCATTTTGTTAAATTCAGCAAATAAACATTAAATGTGTATTAAATGTGCAGAAATGTGTTTTCTGTAGATACTGTGTTTACTTATTTTCACTTAGAAAATCAACAAAAATGTCATCTGACCAGGGGAGCAAAATTTTTTCTTCCATTATATAATTGTTTTTATATTGAAATTGCAACATGAGAGAATTTTAAGAGAGGAAATTTAACCTAATAGCACAAAGCTTATGAACTGCTTGTAGATGAGTTAGACCAATCAGAGGCAACCAAATCTACATGTGTTGTGACATCACAACCATAACTATTTGGCAGTCTGGCACGTTACGTCCAGGGTTCAAGCCTCATGCCAGAAAAAGTGGATACTCCGGTCTTCTTGGCCAAAACAACAGACAGAAAATATGTATTTTCTCATTTACAGAAAATATTCACAGATTAGAATCATAGTCACAATATTAATAAGAAAAATCATAATTAGACATTTTCCCCAAATCATTCAGCCCTACCAGTAAGCTTTGTGGCTTGCATTTATTCGAAATAAGAAAGAAATGGTAGATGAAACTGCAAGCTGTGAAATACACAGTTTCAAATAAGATATCTCTATTACTCAGACTCCGATCCACCTCGAAATAGAGGTTAAGAATACGATTTTAAAGCAGTGATAAAGTAAAAAGACACATTACAAACAAGGACGGGATCATAGTTAAAGAAGGGTACTCTAAAAAGGGAGCAACTTCAATGTGCACTTGTTAGGGGAAGTGCCAAGGGGAAGTGAAGATGCTTAAGCTGGGACGGCGCCTTCTCCCACCATCACAAACAACATGGCAGCGTCCTTCAGTGTGTATTTGTGAACTTGTGTGAGTTTTCTGCAACTTAACTCACCGTAAACAGTTTACTAAACTCTTCGGTGTGATGAGAGACCTCTAACAGCGCTGCTTTATCCTGTTAACGCGTTGGAAATCCCTCACATTAGCCGCCGAAATGTCAGGTGAGTTGAGTGTTCAGAGTTGGTACACATTGTGCTGTTAGCTCGTGTGCTAACAGATCTAGCAGTAAGGTAGTTAGATCCGTCACACTGCTCCAAACAGCAGACCGCTACGCTGCTGTGTTAAAGCTGAGGAGATGTTTATATCGCAGTGTCGCGTGTCTTCAGTAAAGGCTGTTAAGTATTAAAGTGTATTAACTACAGTAGTAAAGAAGTAGGAGCTCGTACCGGCGCTGGCTGACGTCTCTAACTTCGTCGGTCACCAGTAGCTACAGCTCAGGTTCCTGTTGTGTAGAAACCCTGTGAGGCATTTCCATTACTAACGTAACTTTCAGGCTTCACTGATGTTGTTTTAGTGAAGTGCTCAGCTGACTGAAAACGCATTTTTAAAGAGATAAATGAACGACTAAAAACGTTTAGTAAGTTAGCTATTAATTTAGCAGTAACGTCAGTATCAACGTACACCTCACACTGATCACCCTGAGCTCTAGGCGCTAAATCTCCCTTTACTCAGCGTCCGAAATTTGAAGATTCAAAATTAAACGCTTCTTTAATGTGTTATTTGATTATTGTTCATTTTGTCTGCCTTCTGTTGTTTATTTTATTTATTCTTTATTTTTTATTGCAGCAAATTTCAGTAAACAAAATATGATGAATCACTGTTCTTTACATATGAATTATTAATGTATGATGTTACATTCTTAAAAAAGATGGTTCTTCAAGGGTTCTTTACTGAAGACAAACAAATACATCATGCTTAAATGGTTGTTTGCATGGTGAAATGGTTCTTCAGATTGATGGAGACTGTGTTGTGTATGGTTCTATGTAGAACCTTTTTGAAAATGGTTCGATGTAGCACCAAAAAGGGTTCATCTATATATCTATATAACTAGAAGAACCCTTTTTGGTGCTATCTAGAACCATATAGAACACATTCTCCATCGATCTGAAGAACACTTCACCATGCAAAGAACCATTTAAGCATGACATGTAGGTAGTATCTACATTTAAAACCCCTCACCCGACTAAGTTAGTGAATGTTTAACTCATCTGTTCAATGTTGGTTTGTTTGTCTCATATTTACTAAAGATGGCAATAATTCTGGATGGTTCTCTTTCAGGTGCTGACCTAAAAAGTGTCTGTTTGTACTAAATATTGAACTCAATTCTTCATTCATGAGTGAAAAGTCTCTAAATAATTTAAGGAGTATTTACCAGACGTATTTACCTGATACCCAGTGATGTAACATGTTTACATTTCGTTTGGTTCTTGGGAACACTTTGAGAAATAAGAAAATCCACTGTAGTGAGAGCCAGCTAATCAATCAATGTACGCTATGATTACCTGTGTACCTTATTGTGCGAATATTATGTTGCAGGGACATTGGATAGCGCTTGGACTTACACCGAAGCCTGGCTTTTAGCTGCATGGCAGAACCGGCTGTATGTGTACACTGCTGCAGCAGTTCTTGTTGGATTATGGTTTACAGTGAACATGGCATTGAAAAAGGTATAAATGTCCTTTATATAATATTCATATGTTCTATATCACAGTGTCATTGTGTCATTATTGTCATCAGCTTTGACACTATTAACAGGTTTGCCCCTTTATCAGCATGTGTTGGTGCAAGAAGCCGGACAGAGCCTTATTCATTTTCAAGAAGAAAAGATTTACTTGATGGCGCTTGGCTTCAAAATGTTTTCACATAATCCAAACGGAAAGGGATTTTTGTAATTCTGTTAATCTCCAAACAGGCACAGTACAGCATTGTGTCTAATAAGACAATATTTAAGATAAATTTGTCAAATGAAGTTTCGTCCCATGACTGATCACTCCCTGATCCTCTTGACTGATTGTGTTCATTTATAACTTGGGCCACGTGTGACAATGATGAAAAAGAGAGCAGCACCTGAAGTGTTTTGGCCGGTAGGGGGGCCCTCAGGTGGTTGTCTCTTAGTCCACTTTAAGCTTAGTTTAATCTAACCCTAGATTTTCTTTCTCACAATGGTAGATAATTTTTTACGGGGATACATCACCATGGTAACTCATGCTGTGTGCCCGACCTGATTCAGGCCAGGTCAGGTTCAGGATTTTAGATCATAAACAGCTTTTGGACCAATCAAGCCGAGCTGTCTGATGAGGGTCAACCCCTCTGGTCCTTTTCATATCTTTTTTTTTTTTTCCCCTTTGTGATATTTGTGGAATGAGTTATGTGGAGAACTGATTGCTTTTCAGCGCAGGAAACACATCATACTACATAGATATCCAGAATATTGATAAGTCAGTATACAGTACTGTGCAGAAGGCACCTAAGCACATTAGCTAAAACCATTTATCCTGGCCATACATGTGTTCTGTGCTTGAATGACTGTGAATAAACATTGGTGCGGTTAAAAAATTTCTTGTTTTTAAAAAGTCGTTGAGATTTTGTGAGCTAGTTAGAGGTTTTGATCCAGATTTCTCCTCAGTGCCCCGAGACATCTCATGGATTTAAAAATTAGATCACATACACTCTTATTTTAACTTTATGAAGTGATATTGGATATGTCCAGATAACACTGGGCCGCCATGAGGAGAGATTTGAAAATGGTTAAACAAGCACATTGATATAAAATTAAGTAAAATCACTACTTTCAATATATTTAAAAAAAATACTTAAAAACACTATGAATACAATGATTTGTATTCAACATTTCCCAGACTGCACTGCACTAAGTCCAAACAGGACTAATTCTACGTTCTTTGTAATCAAAATATGCAGTTGGGAAGGTGTTTTTTTTTAAGCACTGACAATGTCCATGATATGCTCAGAAAAGCATATTGTGACACACTGTGAGGTAATTTATCATATATGATCTATTTATTAATTATTGTCATATTACCCAGCCCTAATATAATTACTCCAATAAGCACTGATATGGTGACTGAATTGCTTTTTATGGCCATAAATACTTTACTTTGTGCGTATTCAGTAAGTAAGCTGCTTGACTTCTCGTGTTTCACGTGATGGGATGTTCGTCATAAACGTCACTCAGGCACACAAAGATTAATCATAGTTTGAGCTCTATCATAGTTAGATATAGGGTTAGGGTTATTGGAGGAAGAAACGAATATTGTAGTGTGAGTTATGCACGGTTGGATTAGTTAGGTTTTGTGAAGCTGAAACTTCAGAAACCCTTACTAAGTTAAATGTGTGTGGGGTCCAGATCTTTGGCCTGACTGGGAACTTAGATCATTAATTAAGTGCAAGTATGGTAAAGCCTGATACTATCAGCTACGTTTCCACATTTTAGCATAATACAGATATGTTGCCTCTATGTAGCATGTTGTAACCCTGACAAATGTGACAGATATGTGTACAAATTTGAGCCTTTTTTTACACAGAAGA